GGCGAGAACGAGAGCGAAGGCCTAAGTCGTGTAGGCTTAGGTGAGACAGACGATGCGCTGGCAAGAGTAGGCTGTGACCGCGTAGGCAAGGGAGTACCGGGCGATGACACATATGTGCGGGAGGATGGCAGCAGCGAAGAGGGGCGCGTGATAGCGCGCTAGTGCAGCGCAGGCACGGGTGTCCTAGGCGGGGCAGGAATAGGCGACGCACGCGCAGGGTGATGGCGGCGTGGACTGGGGTCGCGCTAGGGCGCGCGCCTGTGGGACTGACGAGGCGCGCAATGCCTCGCGCGCCGAGGAATAGGAAGGTCGACGGGCGGCGCCCGCGAAGGCGGTGCGATAATGCGGCCAAGAGTTTTTGTCGCAAGGATCAAGCTTCTAGAATTGTTTGTAGTGAAAGACAAGCAAATAGAATTATAGTAATATTAGGTTTTTATTGCTTTCTAGTGTTAGGATTTCTATTATTGCAAGATTTAGGAGATCTAGATCTATTAGGCTTAGATTTATTTTTGCACCTATAAATACCCCATGTACTCATCATAATTGAATGTCTTGAATGTCTTGACTTGAATTTGTGAGCCAATTGTGAGGGGAACTTTATGTTTTAACGTGTGATAAACAAGGTCGTTAGTGCGTGTTTACATACAGTGTCGGAGAGAAGGCCGTTAGAGCGTCTTGAAGTTACAGTATCTAGGAGAAGGCCCTGAGTGTGTCTGTTAGATACACCTATCGTGAGTAATCGAAGGCCCTGAGTGCGCGATTATTCACAACCCAAGTATAGACAAAAATCCGATCCGTCATAGGGTGCAGGGCAGCAGTGTGCGCGCGGGCGCAAGGCAGGAGCGCCCGCGGGCACAGGGTGACGAAGAATCGTGTGTTTTGTTCCACTCGCTTGCCTCGAACACAGCCTCGCCACGACTTGCTCTTGACGGATAGGTGTGATCAACTCGGTTATTAGCCTAACTCTCTCATGATACTTGATTTTACTCGGTAATTAGCCTTGCTCCCTCGATTTTGAACTGGCTCGGGTCTTAGCCTAACCAATTCGATTGCATTATCGAACTCTCATGAATCCTAACACACGGTTTAAACAAACGTTCCTTTTCTATTAACTCATCAATTCAAAGACATAAAAAACAATAGGGGAAGACCCCTATTTATAGATCCTAAACTAGTCTAGTTCTAATCTACCTAGGGAACTAATTAAGCAATAAAATATTAAATCCTAAGGCAAATAAATATCCTAACATCTTCTAGATCTTCTAATTACTTGACTTGCACTCCAATCCTCTTGCTTGCTCCCCACTCAGAGTCTGCCGCCCCAAGCCCTAGCCATCTGATGAAGATCGTGTGTTTCGATTGCCGATAAGTCGCGATCCCGCGCCTTGAATTGCCGATAGGTGTTCTTCGAGCCACAACAACGCCTCTTAGAACCAATAAAATTGCAATAGAATTTTGGTGAAAAACTAAAGCAAAGTGGAAGACCAAAAGTTCCGATTTCTATTGATAAACCTGATGATGAAAAATAACATGGGGGATTGCCTTTATATAGGCACCAATTACATCTAGTCCTAATCTAACTAAGGAACTAATAAAGCAATAAAATATTAAGTAGCCTAATTAATCTAGATCTCATAATGCAAGATGGAAACTACTGGCTTGGCTTGCGCTCCAAGTATCTCTCTCTTTCTCTCATGCTATTGGTCGCCTCACTTAGCACCGCCCGCGCGCCCTCTCCCTAGTCCTCAAGGACTAGGGCAACCGACCTTGCCAGCGCGTGTTCGCAACCCATGCTTGCTGCGCATGCCTGCGCGCTGGCGCCACCTTCGCGCGCGTCCCCACACGCCAGCCCCATGTTTCCGCACTTCTCGAGGATTGCGGTTTTGCGTCCCGCGCGTGCGCCTCCATCCGGTTTGTTGCGCACGACATTGTTGCTAGCCGCCTTCTCGTGCGCGTCGCGCCCCGCCTGTCCGCTTTCTACTAAGCGTAAGGATTCGTGCCCAGCGCGTGCCTGCTCGCCATGTGCGCTTCCCGCGCCCCGATCTTTCGTCCGTGTCGCGCGCGCGTCTCCGTTAGTCGCCCGCGCCATCGTTGTGCCTACCGCTGGCACATCCGTGCATGTGCTATTTTCTCTTGCCCCGCGTTTACTACATTTCAGTGCGCGCACTTTCGCCGTTTCCCGCGCTAGCCTTCTTCGTGCATGGTAGGCGCGACTTACGGCGTTCTTGAGCTGCCTAGCCACTTCCGCATTATTCCTCTCCCCTTCAAGCGATTCCTTGTCCTCAAGGATGAAACTTAGGAAATGATCGCGCATCTCATCAAGGTCTTCCTACGTGGCTTCTTCAGGCGGTAGCTCTTCCCAGTCAACTAGCACCTAGCAGCGGTAGCGCCCTGCTTTCCTTAACTTGCGATACTCAATTGCTCGTTTTGGGCACACAATGGCCCTCCCATCGGTCGCGGTTGCTGGATGAGACATGAATCACTGGATGGATCTGCGAACTTTCCGACAATTCTATGCAATAAGCTACCTGACCAATGCGCTTCAAAATCTGATAAGGCCCATAGTAGCGCACCCAAAACTTAGTTGCTGCTCTTTGTGCTGTTGTGCGCTGTCTGAATGGCCGTAGCATCAAGTAGACATATTCGCCTGGTGCGTAATTCTCTTCTCGTCGCTTTCCATCTACAAAGGCCTTAGTTCTATTTATTGATCCTTTGAGATTCTTCTTCAACTCTTGCAACATCAAATCTTGCTCCTCGAGTTCTTGACCGACATCATTGTTAACCGTGCCTCTTTCTGAGTAGTTGATCAGTGTTGGCGGTTTACGCCCATACACCAGTTCAAATGGAGTCATCTTGGTTGATTCATGGTATGTGGTATTGTACCAGTACTCAGCCCAGGGCAAAAAGTTCTCCCATCTCTTTGGGAATTGATGAACATAGCACCGTAGGTGCTGCTCAAGGGTTCAGTTGGTTACCTCGGTTTGTCCATCGGTCTGTGGGTGATATGCTGAACTCATGGATAGCTTGGTCCCCTGCAGCTTGAAAAATTCAGACCAAAAGTTGCTCATGAAAATCCGATCTCTGTCAGAAACTATAGATCGCGGAGCTCCGTGCAGCTTCATCATTTACTCAACGAAGAGTCTGGCAATTGAATTTTCCGTGTAAGGATGGGTGATAGGTATGAAGTGGGCATACTTTGTAAGTCGATCCACTACGACCATTACACCGTTGAACCCATTAGAACTTTGCAACCCTTCGATGAAATCCATAGTAATGTCCTCCCAAAATGCATCGGGTACCAGTAGGGGCTGTAATAGGTCGCTTGGTCATCGCGAATCAGCCTTAGTGCGCTGACAGTCGTCGCACCTCGCGATGTAGTCTCGGACCGTGCCTTGCTGTCCCGGCCAAAAGAAGGTATTGACTACTTCTCATCAAGGTGCGGTAGATACCCTAGTGTCCTCTAATCTTGGAATCGTGGAAGTGCTGCATGAAACAAGAATCATTGGTTCACAACCTAGATGGATTTGAACAACCCATCGGAACGGTTGTAGTGTCAACCATACGGTTTGTCATGACCGATTAGTTGCACTAGTACATTTATGTATTGAACAGGATCCCAGAGAGGGATGTTCGTTTTATACTGATCGTCGTAAACGAACTAGGCCTCAGTTAATTATTGCGTGCTCTTAACCCGTAAGATATTAAATAGGCATGTGCACATAATTATTGTTGCTTTGATACTTTGGGTGAGATCCAAACCGGGCCGACATACTTAATTAATTGGGTAATGACCTTATGTGTTCGATGTGCTATTAGGATATTTACAGCCACCATGTGCGTTAGTATGATGATGTCCCCGAAGTGAGTTCATGAAGGAATATTATGCTAAACCCTGCAGGTGGATTTATTCCGGCATAATATGAATGCTATGAGCGAGTGCTAGCTTCGATAATATAATATATTAGTTAATTCTTGATTATTAGTGATCGAATTAATTAATGGACATTATATCTTAAACATGGGGAGGTAAATCGGATAATTATAATAAGGAGTCTCAAATGTTACCATTACTCACGATAAGACAGCGAACCATGCAGGTACTATGTCTGGAATGCTTTCTATCTCCAATGTGTCTGTCTTTGTGTGATACCGGTGCTACTCATTCTTTTATCTCCTCTCGATGCCTTGAGGCACTATCTGTTGTTAGTTTGAGCAAAGTCGATTCTCTTGAGGTCAGCCTAGCCTGGGGAAAGGTTATTATTTCTGATTTTATAGTCCGTAATCTTCCTATTAATATTGGTGGACGAATTCTAGAGGCCGACATGTATGTTATTGAAATGCGGGACTTCGATGTGATCTTGGGCATGGACTGTAATAGCCTATTGTTGGGTTCTGTTAGGAATGTCAAACAACATGCACAGTATTGAACTTTATCGAAATAAATCCTAACGCAGCGGAATCTATAGTTAGGATATGGACGTTTACCTTTTAAAATTTTTGCCGACTCTGAGACGATGTAGAGTACCGTTGGTGAAGTTCGTCTGAACACCACAACCTAATGGGCGGATAGGTTTGGCCTTTAGTTGATTCTAATCAACACGTCAAACGGATCACGAACGGACGGTGGCTTGGTCTCGGTCGTCAGGTGGCAGCGGGCAAACGTGCGCGTCGGGCGCTGACAACGAGCGGGTACGCTGGCGTCGTGTGTGTCGCGGACAACTTGCGTTTGCGCGGGCACTGACCGCTGGCGTGATGCGCGTGTTGCTGGAGAGACGCGTCGGGCGCTGGCGGGATGCGTGTGTGCGCGTCGGGCGATGAGCGGGACGCGCGAGATGCAAGCGAACGCGGAAAGGTTGCTGGGACACCGCGCGCGTGCAGCGGCAGCACTCCTACTCCTGTGCGGACTGGGCGTGCACGAACTCCTTGTGTGCAGGCGATGCGCGATCGGCGACAGGGACGCTGGGTGCGAGTCGCGATGGCGCGGGGTTGCATGAACGGACGTCGGGCCTTCGTGCGGTGCTTATGGGCGTCGCTGCTGGGACTGGCGTCGGGCCTGGGCAACGTGCGACTGCGCGTGATGCGTGCGGTTGCGTGTGGCTGGGCTCGAACGACTTCCGACGGTGCTGGGCGATTTCCGGCGGTGGTCGACGGCGGTGGACGCCGGCGATGAGCTGGGGAAGATAACTGGAAAATATATGTATATAAAGGCTCAATCAATTGCACCAAAAAGCCTTCTAACGGATTACCTAAACACCTATTCCGAATAAACTTGGTGGAGCGTTTAATCGGATCTCCCTAACTCCCGAATGATGTAATTCCCTCGTGTATGTAGTAGGGAAAATCGGCCAACATCAACAACATAAGAGAGGTTGGGACATGGTGTATTTATAGGCTCCATTAGGGACCTTAAGGAGGTGCTAAATATGGGCTTATTCCATTAGGCCTAGGACTCCTAATTCCAATCAAATACTAACTCAATCTAGGAAGGAGATCTCCTACTAATCTTCTCCCTTCTAGAAGACTCCTAAGTCTCCTAACACTAGAGAAGATCCTTGTAGGAATTTCCTTTCCTAATTAAATTAATAAACATGGAATGGAATTAAATCCTAATTTAGGAAACCTAATTTTCCTCCAATTAATTAATATAATGTAGGAAATATATTTCCACTAATCCTCATCTTCTAGAAGACTCCCAAGTCTCCTAATCCCAAGAGAAGATTCTAGTAGGAATTTTATTCTCCTAATTAATTAATTAATATGGAATAAAATTAATTCCTATTTAATGGAATTAAATAATAAAACATCCCACTTAATACAAGTCTCGCACCCTGCCCGGCTGGAATTCGCCTTGAGCTTGCTCTTCTCGCCGGTTGGACGCGGAACCTGCACGAAACTCCCACACCGGAGGTGTTTTTCGGTGAAGAGCCTCCAACGCTCAAGCCAGATCTTGAGAGATAATATCAGTCTATAGAAAGGTGTAAAGTATATCAGATTGTACCGAGAATGTGGATTCTCGCCCTTATTTATAAGGGCGAGTTACCTGTACTGCACGCGCGAGGCGAGTGCGTTCGTCTGACCGTCCTCTGCTGGTCCGTACGGTCGCGCGCCCCCACTATCTATGATGTCAGAGAATGCGTCGCCTTTGTCAGAGAATGTCAGAGTCGGTTACGGCTGTTGACCACTCACAATGCGCCGCGTGTCCTTCTCCTCATGTGCTGGAGATTCCCCCATGTGCTCCGATGCTCTACCAGTTATGTGTGTCTGTCTTCTCGATCGCCCTTTCTCGACCAGGTGCTCAGCTGACTTGTGTCTGTCGACCACCTCTGCTCCTCTTTACCACCGTCATCTGCTCGATGTTCTAATGGCCAGTGCTTGGTCCTGCTCGACTATACCATTCGACCTTATCCTTACTAGACCGTCTCACAAATCGGTCGGTCTCCTTTGATTAGCCCTATAAACCGGTCCAGTATATATTATCCCATATCATCTAGTCCCCCCACTCTGGTCGAGTCTGAACGACTCGATCTAAGAGTAGGTTTTGGTCTGTGCCGAGGAGATTCTGCTGCTTCATCTTCGACCATCTAGCCTATTTTCCTCTCTCATACTTTCGTTTCCTTCTCTAACCGCCACTTCTTGCTCTTTGAATTTCAAACTTCGCCACCTGTCCGCTTTTTAAGACGCATCTTTTCCTTTGCCCAAGACTAATGATGACCCCGTGGCTCGTGTCACCTCGCTCTTCGCGTCCACTTGCACGCCTCTTCTCGCTTCTGCCGTTGGATTTTTTGCCTTTAATCCTACGGTCCGCCCTCCTTCTCTGCCCCTATAAATACCCATCCTTGAGGGATTTTTCTCCTTTTCTTCACTGCTGCATATCATCGTACTAAGGCTTCCTGCAACCGTCGAGCATCCTGCAACCTTGAGTTCTCCATCTTTCCTGCACATTCTCTACTGTTCGTCATGAGTAAGTCTTGTTTACCCTTCAATTTGTGTTTGTGTGTTTTTAATTTTTGGGTTTTTCCTCTTCTTCTTCAACCTCTTGTCGATTTATGGCTTCGCTCGTCGTTCGTCCTTCCTGCTGTGTTCTCCCTCGCCTCTCTTCCTCCTTCTGTTCTTGCTCCTTCCTCCAACTAATCATAGTTTTTTTTTCTTTTATCTCAGATTCTGCTACTTCGAGTGAGAATGACCGACACAGCGGGAAGGACTTAACTTCTCCTTCTTCTTCTGCAACCCTTAGCCTTTCAAGTGACTCTGTGCAAGAGATTCTTCAGCCCGAGCCTCTTTCCGTCCTTCCCCCTGCATCGGCAAGCGATAGCCCCTCAGCCGCTGCTCTCTCTCCTTCCACCTATCTCGTCGACCAGCCTGAAGGCGAGGTCACCAGTCGGCCTCCTTCTCCTCCCATCGAGCGTGCTCGTCGAGTTCTCGGCCAGGATGACGAGATTGAAGACGAGGATGATCCTCAAGACCACGTACCGCTGTCCGCTCGCGTTCCTATACCATCTACCAAGCCTTCTCACTCTCCTTGCCCTAAGATGTCCAAACGATCCAAACCTTCCAAACCCTCGACGAGCGCTTCTCACCTCGACTTTTCTGCCATCGGCCATCCCGGGGCTGCTCGTACTCCTGATGATCACGATACTTACGATAATCCTCCGGAGGGCTATTACACCTTTTTCCGCGCCCACTTCGACCTCGGCCTACGCTTCCCTATTTGCCAAGCGTTGCTCGACCTCTGTGGTTTATACGGCCTGCCCCTTAACCAGATTACTCCCAACGCCTTTAGGACTTTAGCATCTTTTATTATTTTGTCCATGGTTCGCATGGGTAGGGTAGATTTAGATTTTTTTGTATATTGTTATTTCGCTTCTACACAAGCAGACGGTCTTTACTTAAAGAGCCGGAATAAAGCCTGTTTTATCACTGATCGACCATCCAATGTCCCCAGATGGAAAGACCAGTTTGTATATGTTCGTCCCCCTCAGCCCTATCCTTGGGCGCCTGTTCCGTGGCTTACCGAAGTACCTCTAAAACCTGCCCGTCCTGCTGCTAACCCCATCTTCGACCGCCGCATCCAAGTGTGGAACTCCAATCCTGTTGCTTCGACTCCCCTCCTTGAGAATGATAATCTTCTCCACTATTGTGGAATTTTGACTCATAAGGCGTTTTCTCCTCCTCTCGCCGAAACCATTCTTCAAATTCGTGTCGACCCTAAGCTTGCCGAAGTAAATGCGACTGCTCGAGCAGGTGCTCGAATCATCATCGCGTTCTAGGTTTGTTTAATATTGTTGATCGACTTCTAACCACCTTTATCCTTCTTGCAGAGGGATTTTTGCATAAGCCTGATTTGAAGAAGACTGGTGATAGAAGGTCTGCTCACACTTCTGCCCACGTCGAGAAGACCAAAGGCCCCTCCTCGACCAAAGATGGCCCCTCTCGATCAGAGAAGCCTGGTGCTGGGGCCTCCTCCCAGTCGAGCAGACAACGAGCTCCTTCTCCTCCTCCTAAGCAAGCCGAGCGTTACTCCTCCCACTCGACAAGAGAGAGTGACGCCTCCAAAAAACGTCCTCGGACTGAAGGGACTGGTCCCCTCTCCACAAATCCACTTCCTTCCCCCAAGCGACCACAACCCGAAGCTGCTTCCTCCGGGAATCCCCCTCCTTCATATTCTTCGTTGTCGCTTGTGTCGGCTGGTCCCCGAGAGACCGTGTCTCGGCTGATGAGCTTTCTACCCTTTGACGATACCCATCGTTGGGGGGTGAATCGTCGTAATCAAGCCTAATATGCTGTTCGCGCGGTGACGCAGGTATATTTCTTCCCTTATCTTTATCTTCGAGCACCTTGCTTCGTGTTGTACTTGACTTTTGCTCTTGCCAGACTGTGGTCTCCGTCGTGCCTCTCCTCGAGGAAACGTTGAACAGCACCGGTCGCCCAATTCCTGTGCTCGAGGGCGACAATAGGCGTCTCGAGGAAGAGAACCGGAGGTTGAAGGCCGAAAATGAGGATCTGCTCAAGACCCGCCATGCCTTAGCTGAGTAGATAAAGAGAGACGAGCAGCGGTTTAGGGAGGCCATGCAAGTCAAAGACAAGGCTCTCGAGATAGAGCGGGCTGGCCGAAAAAAGGAGGTTGAGGCCGCTGTTATCACTGCTATCGAGCAGTCTCGTCGAGCCCTGTGGAGGACCCAAGTTGGTCAGAACTTCCTCAAAGCTTATCGGGAGCAGCTGATCCAGGACTTCCTGCGCTCGACGGCGTTCCTCAAAGAGGCGGCCGAGATGGGGATGGACTTCTATACCTATAGCATGGAGGAAGTCGAGCGCCAGCTGAAGGAGGTGGGGTTCACTGGTGAGCTCGACCAGGATAAAACATGGGAAGCAATTCCCTCTGCTCCTTCTAGCTTCACCGGTGATCCCACTCTGCCCGCCGATCATCCTTGGTGGACCAGTTCCCTGGAGAAGACCTTAGCGGGTGATCCTTCTTTGAAGAGTTCGTTTGACTTGCCCAGGCCAGGCGAGGCACCCCTGGTCCGTCTCTCAGTTGGCTTCCTTCCTCCACAGCCTGTGACCACCCATGCTCCTTCGTCCATCTCCTATTCATCAGCCTCGGCTCTCAATCATTCTACCGTCGCCTCCCTTTCTTCGATTGGCGCCTTGCACTCGACCGCCGTTGCTTCTGCCTCCTCTGCGGTCGTCCAGCCGACCACAGCGGCTCAGTTGGGGTTTGCTTCTTTCGCCTCGTCAGTTGCGGACGCCTCCTCGACCGCGGCTGCTATGTCGTCGGCCGCAACTGCCCAATCGGCTTCCGCGACGCGGGCTTCTGCCACGATGTCTTCAACTGTGTCCTCTACCGCTGCTGCGCAGTCGACCAGTGTGGCTCTATCTGCGACCGCTCCTCCAAAATAGTTTTAGGTGCTCGACGATGTATTTTCATATTTTTATTTGAATGTAATTTGTAATCCTGTACCCGCCATGGAATGAAAACCTTGGTTTCTTCTTATTTGTGTCGTGCAATGCCTTTGCTTTCCATTTTTTGAGTTGCTCTGTATTATGATTCCTCATAGACATGTTGACATATGCTCCTTATGCCTTATCAATGTTTTCGTTTATATGCAATAAACCATAATCACCGCTCACTGCTCTTAAACCTGTGTGAATCCTAGTTAATACCTCGTCACTCATCATCGCCTAATTGTGCTGAGGTGTGCTCCTTATGAAGGACTTTAGTTTTGCTGCCCGCACATTAATGAAATTTGAACCTAAAACTGATAGAACTTGCCACTCAATTCGAACTTAAAATTGACCGACCTCCGCCCACCTCCTGGTCGAGGTATTCCATGAACGGAGGACTTTGGTCTTGTCACTTGCCCACCCTGAGGGATGTTCCGAAAACATTGTGGTCGTCCAGCCCGGAGGCGTGGACGTTGTTGACCACTTGCCCACCCCTTAGAATGTACCGAAAACAAGCGACCTTCGCCCACCTCTTGGTCGAGGTGTTCCACAAACGAAGGACTTTGGTCTTATCACTTGACCACCCTAAGGGATGTTCCGAAAACATTGTGGTCGTCCAACCCGGAGGCGTGGACGTTGTTGACCACATGCCCACCCCTTAGAATGTACCGAAAACAAGCGACCTTCGCCCACCTCTTGGTCGAGGTGTTCCACAAACGAAGGACTTTGGTTCACAACCTAGATGGAATTGAACAACCCATCGGAATGGTTGTAGTGTCAACCGTACGGTTTGTCTTGACCGATTAGTTGCACTAGTACATTTATGTATTGAACA